CACAGCAACCTCGGCCAGGACGGCCACGGAATCCACCACAGCAACCTTGGCCAGGACGGTCACGGCATCCACCACAGCAACCTCGGCCAGGACGGACACGGTATCCACCAGCAGCACGGTGGATCTGGAAGTTACGGCCACGAGCACGGCCACGAACACGGCCACAGCACCCTCCACCACGGTGAAATCGGCCATTCCGGTCGCCAGCACGGAGCAGGCACATACGGTGGTCACCAGCAGCACGGCGCAGGCCGAGGCGCAGGCACCTACGGCGGCCACCACCACTAAACCAGGCGCAGAGACTGACATTCCAAAGTATTTTACGCATTTAGGTTAATGTTTCTCATCTTTCCATAAACAATTGATCGCCTGTCACCAATAAATCATTTTAACGCACGAATGTTCGATGTTTTGTTATTTTTGTTTTGTTGCTGTCAGTATAAACAAAATATCGTCTCAAAAATCCTCAGTGAGGTTTCCACGTCACAGAAAACAATCACGACCATTGAGTTAGCAAATAACAGGCGAGGCGCACACACTTAAAAATATCCTCGTAAATATACAACATCTGTTGTTATCATTTACAATTACTAAATTCTTTCTAAATTTGTGACAGCTGATTCTTGCACGTCGATGAATTCCAAGTCGATACGAAGCGCTTGTAAATTTACAATTCCGAATTGTCATTTAACGACATACACCATGAAAAACATTTCCGTTGACCTGCGACTAGTTTTCACAGTGCACCGCCGAAGTGCGTTTCGCTCGCTCCACCCAATAATGTGACCTGCGACACTGTTGCCTGCGTCACTGCTGAACCAGGTACCGGTCGGTCCGGGGCCAACACAGTCGTCACTGCGCTGACGCTGCCAAAAGTGCGTGACGTCACGCATTGCGCTGCAGCCGGGCGTCCTAGAACACGTTCGGTATATAACGGGGATCGGGTGCAGCCCCTGCACCATATCGCACTCACACCGTGTCCAGGAAGGAACAGAAGGAAGCAGACAAGATGGTGTCGAGCAGGACCGTGATTTTGGTGGTGAGTACAAGCCAGCCCCATCATGGTTGATGGTCGCACTGCTGACCCGAGGCGAGGAGCCCCGAGCCCCCTGCTTGATATCGCGCCGCACGTGTTTCCACATCTTTATCAAAAACACCACGTGATTGTACACTATTGACGACTGAAAGAAATTCAAGGTTAAGGTCAAAAAACAGGAAAAGGATGGTCCACACATCCAATAAGTGTGGGGACACACTCGGTGTTGTGAACTTTTCTATACGCATAAAATTTGTGCGCAACTATATATTCAAAATACGTAGGAAGAGCGGGTGGAGATTTTTTTCTAAGATGCGTCTCAAAAAGTTTACAATTTATGATGGAGTATTAACACCTACGTGTTTTAATTAGCTTGTTAAGAGGCTAGTTTTTAAAAATTGAATGCACCGATACTGAGAAAATGCTGTAAAATCATCCATGATTGCATTTCTTTCGTTGTATTACACTGGGAAAACAAAGGTGTGAATTAACACCTTTCCAGGGGCGTTAAAGTCAAAAGGCGTTAAAGTTTTCGTTTTTCCCGAATATTTTCTGATGCAGCAAACCAAGCTTTGTAGAACTGAAATTTTCGTATTCAGCTCAAAATTTTGCTTCGATCAAGCCTACCTACATGTGATAGGGTTCAGATCC